TTATAATTTTTTTACAGTTGAAATTCATATTCATTTTTGCACCTAATTTTGTATTTTGTTTCTTGGATAGGGCTCCCCAAAGTGTATGAGCTTCAGATACCACCACACTTGGATGCTTGCTTCCCTAGTAGGAAGATCCAAAATAGCATAAAAGTCAAGCTTTCCCTGAGAAAATCACATCCAAGCTGACCCCTGATTATGGGGGTCTGAGGCAGCCATACAGGGTGGTGATGTGAAGGGGGAGGGCAGGGGTATGAGGAGCAGCTGTTGCTGGCATGTAGGAGTCTGTCAGACACTGCGGTTGAACCATCAGATGGGACAGCAGAAGCCATGTTATGTTTTTGGGCACTTTGATGTCAAGAACTACTCACAATTTTAAAAAATTTAACATAACCACTTTTTTCTATTACATCCAAGATACGTATAGTGGGTATATATTATATTCTCAACCACATATTCAAAGATGAAGGTAATATCACCCTATTTTATCTAAATCCCTCTGCCAGCCCCTATCCATCTCTCTATGATTGTGGGAATTGTGGGGAATTCAAGTCATCTCAGGATCAGGAGAAGTGTCCCAGGTCTTACAGAGGCCTTTGGGGAGGCCTCTCTGATATTTGGTCTACCGTAGTTGTATTTTCCCTAGCTGGCTTGTTCCCTTGAAGTTCCAACTCTCTGCTCTGTACCCAGCTTGGGGAACCAATAGTAAAGCTGAACCCAGAGTCCAGCCTGCTTAAGTGTATTATACAGCTATTTCCCTCCAACAAATGGTAGATGTGGGTCTATCTAAAACTTTTGCAGCCTCCTTTCCATCCTGTGTATAGTGTAGTGATTGTGATGGGCAGATTCTAAGATGTCCCCATGAGCTGCACTCTCTGGCATTCCCATCCTGCATAATCCCCTTCCCCTGAGTATGGATGGGACCTCTGACTCACTTCTAGACAGCAGGGTATGGCAAAGGTAAAGGAACTTCACACCCCACCTCCATCAGCCCTCAACCATTGGCATGGGCCTTGGTGTACAAATATCCCAGCTTCCTCATTCCTTGGGTGGAATTTCTCTGAGGGATGTGTTTTCCATCTTCACCCAGAGTGCAAGCTGGCTGGATAACTTAGCCTGTATTGCATGCCTTTCCTTCCCTACTGGTGCTTCCCAAAGTTCTTAAGTGAGCTGCTAGCACTGGATCCTGGTTTCAGGGTCTTCTTCAGGGGAACCCAAACTAAGACAATGAATTAATACTTTAAGGGCACTGTCAAGGCTCTGCTACCAAAGACCACCAGGGGCACACCTGCAGTTGAACCGGTTGGGTTTATTGTTTTTTGCAGTAAGGGAAGACACAAACCATGAAAAATCATGGGAAGTCTCAGTAAGAGGGTGTTAGAAAGAACTTAAAGGATTTGGACTTTAGATGATTTGGGGGAAGGCCTAAGGAAATGGGGGTTCACTCCATATTGGCTTCTGTGAGAAAGCGTGGGCAACTCTGTGAATGACAATCTCAATAAATCTTAACTGTCGTGAGGGGAGATTGGGTCTACAGGTAGCGGAGACTAGAATGAGGTTAAAGTTGTAATTGGTAACTAAGTAGGTACTCATTTTCCTTGGGAGATGTAGCGTTTGTTGTTTTGTGGGTGACACCATAAACTTGTTTTTGTCTGTGCTTAGACTAAATTATGAAGTTGACTCGCTTTGCCTCACGCTATTATGATTGCAGAGTAACCTTGTCTGAGGTTGGTATTCTGTGAGCTGGCTTATGTTTAGGAGATTAATGTGGTCTGCCTGTGAGTCCCAGGACAGGTTCTGAATGTCAGGGGCTGCTTTCTTTCTTTCTCAGCACTTGGAAAATGCCAGGCACATAGTAAACTTTCAGTGTCACCAATTACCAGCCTGAGCTTGGGGCTTCACACGCATCTTCTTTATCTTCATGATGATAGTGAATAAGGTATGAACATTCACAGTGTACGAGTGAGGAAAGAAATCCGTTCTGAGCTGATGCGTTGTATCAACAGGCATATTACACTGC